TTGGGTGCCTGGACAAATGTATTTTTCGCGTTGCTGCATGGTAGATTGATCAGCTTACCAAGACTGTGCGCTGCTTTCTGATATTCACTTCTCGGTATTGGTATCCCACTTGCAACGGCTAAATTAGCAATTAAACAAAAATATCTAAATATATATCTTAATAAACTTAAACAGATGAAATTCAATGTGAGGTCTTAATATTTACTTAGTTCAAATTGAGCAAAAAATGTACCAGTCAACTAATACAACTAAATCGAAATCAATAGCAGTACTAAAATTTCAGTATCAGAAAGACATGCAATGGGACTTGGTCTATTCTAAAAAAATTTTTCGTAGTTGGAGTTGTGAAGAGGACGAAAAATTCGCATTTCGCCTTCTTTCCTAATTGCTCACCTTTGATCAGCAGGCGATTAAAAATTTTTTTAACCAATTTTTTTTACCGACCAGACACATCAAAACTCTTGTCAGATTTTAAAATTTACTTGATCCAAACTGGACAAAAAACTTATCAGTCAATTGTTTTAAGTGAAGCGAAATTTACTTAACAGTACGGTTTCGGTGTTACTGCTTATTTGAAAGGCAAACAATGAAACTTGAAGAGGAGTAGGAACCCGTGTTGGTCCTTCTTTGTCAATGCACATGTTTGGCCAGTATTTAAAAGCTAACGGAGCTATTATCTTTTAATATTAGGGACTTAAACAAGTTCATGGATTTATAAGGTTGGTTTACTTTAATTTAAAGTGGAAAATTCTCCCTTTTAGCATTCCTTGTACGCTAACCATTGCGGTCAATTTTTCGTGGTATCTGAATGAGTTATGTGCTCAAGTGGGCTTTGGTGTGAAAAGCCGCGACTCCAACCTAAGGTGAGGTAAGACAAAAAATATGCGCATCTGCTAGAAGAAGAAAGAACTCGTTTTAAAGCGAGTCATATAGTCATCGACAAAGTTGCTGAATTTGAATACAACGACAATATATTATCTATTAAATGATGCCATAATAAGCTAATATCTAGTCAATTGTTTCGCAGCGTCTCCTTATTTAAAGCAGTTCAACATAATAAAAATTATAATAATTGTCTTTGTTCTTATTTGCAGAACATAACGAATTTAAACAAGACTAAATTAAAGAAATGTAGTAAATATTGAAGAGATGTAGGTATTCACCATTGAAACAAATCTATAGTATTGCTCAAAGAACTTTTCTGACACAACAATTTAAAAGAATCTTCATAGATTTCTTAAAACTTCTTTTACTAAAAATTCCATTCCATTATTAAAATAATAATTCTTAATCCTCAACGAAATCTAACCACTGCTAAAATAGTTTCTTTATATTCTACTTCAATCATTGGCGTACACAAGGGCATTCAGTGTTTAGACTTAACAAAAAATTTCGGATCAGATATTATAGAATTTATTTAATA